AAGGTTCTCCACCTTGGGAGGAAAAACCTGCAGCATGTCTATAGGCTCGGCAGTGCTATGCTGGCTAGCACTACGGAAGAGACTTGGGGGTCATCGTTGACCACAAGATGAACATGAGCCTGCAGCGTGATGCTGCAGCTAGTAAAGCAACCAAAACGCTGGCTTGCATCCATAGATGCTTCTTAAGCAAATCCTGGGACGTCATTCTCCCCTTGTACTTGGCCTTGGTGAGGCCACAGCTGGAGTACTGCGTCCAGTTTTGGGCTCCACAATTCTAAAAGGATGTGGAGAAGCTCAAGAGAATCCAGGGAAGAGCCGTCAGGGAAGCAGACCCTATGATGACAGGCTGAGAGCCCTGGGGCTCTTTAGCCTGGAAAAGCGCAGGCTCAGGGGTGATCTGATGGCCACCTATAAGTTTATCAGGGGTGACCACCAGTATCTGGGGGAACGTTTGTTCACCAGAGCGCCCCAAGGGATGATGAGGTCGAATGGTTATAAACTCCTGCAGACCGTTTCAGGCTGGACATAAGGAAGAATTTCTTTACTGTCCGAGCCCCCAAGGTCTGGAACAGCCTGCCACCGGAGGCGGTTCAAGCACCTACATTGAACACCTTCAAGAGTAAACTGGATGCTTATCTTGCTGGGATCCTATGACCCCAGCTGACTTCCTGCCCTTCGGGCGGGGGGCTGGACTCAATGATCTTCCAAGGTCCCTTCCAGCCCTGATGTCTATGAAACCTATAATTACCCTTTGCTTGCGGTTAGTGAGCCGGTTGCCTATCCATCATATAGTTTTGTCCGGCCCACATTCCTCCAGTTTGTTTGAGACAGTCATGAAGGACCTTGTCAGAGGCCTTGCTGAAGTCCAGATGCACTCTATCCATAGGTGTATTCCCATCCACTCAAGTACACCATGTTCCCATCCACCCAAGTAGTTACTTTATCACAGGTGGAGATTAGGTTTGTTTGATACAATTTGTTTTAGTAAATCCATGCTGGCTGCTTGTGTTCAACTTTGCCTCCTCCAGATGCTTGCAAATGGACTTCCTTAATACCTGCTAAGTTACTGGAGCATGCCCTAAGGTGAGGCTAACAATTCTGTAGTTCCCTGGGTCCTCCTGTTTAAGAGAAGCGCTGATGGCCCTTTTCCAGCCCTCTGGTACCTCACCCATCCCCTACAACTGCATGAATATTATTGCCAAGGGCTTTGAGATCTCCTCTCAGTTCCTTCTGTAACCTGGGATGAAGCTCATCAGGCTCTGCTGACTTGAATTCATTCGGACCCATCAAAAGCTGCCTGACTATCTCTTATTATCTCTTCCCTCAGCTTGCCCTCTTCCTTTTCCAAATAATTCTTATTAGGTAACTGGCTGCAGCTTCATTTTTTTGTGAAGACTGAGACAAAGTAGCTGTTGAATAGATCCACCTTCTTTGCATCTTCTGTTGAAAGATCCCCCCACCTAGTTAACAGTGAACCCACTTCTTCCTTGGTCTTTCTTTTCTAGCCAACATACTTATAGAGCCTCCTCATCTTGTTTTTATTCTCCCATGCCAGGTGCAGCTCCTTCTGCATTTGAGACGTCCTAAAGCAGTGGTTTTCAACTTGTGGTCTGTGGACCCTGGGGGTTCACAGACTATGTCTAAGGGGTCTAGAAAGGATGACTAAAATCAAACAAAAGTATGAGTTTCCACATTCACAATTCAAAGGGGTCTGCACTTTCATTTGCAGACCTCTAAATAATATTTTGAATGGAAGAAAGGTTGAAAACTACTGTCCTAGAAGCTCCTTGTGCAGCCACATTGGTCTATCATTCTTTTTGTGCTGCCATTACGCCAGAACAGTTTTTTGTTGGGTTTCTAATACTGCCCTTTAGAAGCTCCCAGCCCTCCTTTGCGCCTTTATCCTTCAGCCTATCTTCCCATGGCACCAAACCTATTAATGCCTTGAGTCAGGTGAACTGTTCCTCTTTAAAATCTAGTGCCCTAGTTTTGCTGACCTCATGCTTTCTCCATCTCCATTCACGTCATCACTTCCTCTTAAGTTGTCCATCAACTTCACATGCTCTGCCAGTTCCTCCCGTGGTCAGGGGAAGTTCCAAGATAGGTGATCCCCTAATTGTGTCCTCAACCTGCTGGAACAAAAAGCTGTCCTCCACACGAGTTAGGCTCAACATTTTATATTTGGCTGTATTGTTCTTCCAGCAGATGTCCAGAAAATTGAAGTCTCCCATCAGGACCATCCCATAGCTTTTGGATAGATTGGTCACCTCCTGGAAGACTGCCTCATCCATCTCCTCTTCCTGATTTGGTGGCCTATTATAAACCCCCATAATTACATAGGTGCCACATCTTTCACCTTCCATCTTCACCCAAATGCATTCTGCTCTATTTTCTTCCTCCTAACCCAGGGAACAAGTGTGTATGTTCCTGACATACAAGGCAATGTCATCACCTTTTCTCCCAACCCCGTCCTGGAAGAAAGGACCCTGATATGCAACCCTCAGTGCTGACATTCTAGTCATAAGAGCTGTCCCACCAGGTCTCGGTGATGCCGATCAGGTCATAGCTCTTTTCACAGGCCGCAGCTTCCAGCTCACCTCGTTTATTCCTCGTACTTCTTGCATACATCAGATATATTCTGCATTTGACCTATCATTTTCCATTTTGCACTGCTTGCTGCTTTCCTGTGGCTCTCTGGCCCTCTCTCAGAGTGAGCTGCTTGTTCTGGTCCATTCCCCTCTGGATTGTTTCCTCTGTTGCTGGAGGGTTTTGCTCACCATCCCCAATGGAACCTAGTTTAAAGCCCTCCTTAGTAAGTTGGCACAAGATGCTATTTCCAGTTGAGGTCAGATGGATCCCATCTCTTCATAGCAGTCCTCCTCCCTAGAACATTTCCTGTTGTTGAAGCACATAATAAGCCATAGTGGATTCCATATTCTTTTGCATAGTGCTACAGTCACCTGCAACATTTTTCAAATAGATGGACAAATCTTGGTCCTACCAAAATCAAGGGTTTTGCTGATCATTTCTTTGTTTTTTTATGTCAGAGAGATAAGTCCCTGCTCCCAAGGTCTTCTAATCTAAAAACAAAAGGGAACACCAGAGAACATGCCTGGAGATGTTGATAACATTATTGGGAAGGAAGGATTATATTGCTGGAAGAACCAGATGCTGAAGGAAGTATGGAATGAAAAGAATAACAATTAACTTCCTTCACGTGCAGGAGCAGTCTAATGGATCCATAGCCAAAAAGTGGAGAAATGGTAAATAGGAGTAGTAGTAGTAGTAATCGGGTAGGGAGTAGCGGGGTCTATTGGGTGAGGATGAGGACAAGGAGCTTGACTATGATACACTTGGAGATAGAAAAATCAATGGAAGCACAGAAAAGAGAGGTGATACATAATGCGAGCAGGAAAACTTGTGAACAGATCTGAACAAGAATGAACTGGGAATTTGAGACTTTGGAAAAGAATGGTGCCATGGTCAGAGTTAAGAAGGTCAATGAAAAATAAACCATCCAAACCAAGTACCTGGAACCAGTTACTGGGGACTGAAGGCATGTCACAAAAACTGAATCATGAGGAGAAATAGGAGGTTGAAACACAAATTTAATCGTATTTCTGCACTGAGATAATGAGGCGAAGTACATTATGTTTTTAGGAGAGGCGTGTAACATTTTTAAAAAGCTCCTTTAAACCCTGCTTTCTTTACTAGTCTACCACTACATGGACAAAAACAAACAAACCTGCAAAGCACAATGAAGGCAGTTTCAAATAGACTTGCATGATCTATGTTCATGCTACACAGAGAGATTACAGGCCATATTCTTCTATAGTGAACAGCAATCATTATACCACTAAAGTCTTCTAGCTCTACTCTAGGATATTTAAATCAACTTATTTTTAAACTCTCCAGAAATGCAGCAAGCTATTCAGACTATAAGGTTGGGTAAATATTGTGAGATTTCCTTCCTCCGCAGAAGAGAGAGACCATGCTTTTGATCTCTTCTTTAAATGCTTTCTACTGCATGAGGGCTAAGAAGGTCACTTTATGAGAAATCCGTATTTCAGAGGGTCTTCCTCTTCTGCAGTGTAGATTGCTGTTCCAGTATAAAAGGCTTCTCCCGAGACTTCTACTATGACAGCATTGTAGTCACCACACTTCGCTTCCTGAGAACAAAAGAAGTTTAGGTTCAAGTTTAGTTAGCATACAGGGATTTTCCACAGTTAAACAGAGTCTCACTATAGAGTCAGGACAGAAACCACCTCATACCCACGGATAACACTGCACTGGCAACCTTCAACCCAGCCCAGTTACAACTACAAGTAAACAAAAGCCTTTGCACTGCAATGTCAGGCATGGATACCAGATCACCTCTCCGCTTGCTCCAAGACCCTATGTCTGATGATAAGCAAATCTATTGCTACACATGGCAACTTCACTGAAGCAAGGGGCCCACTGGGTTTATATCCTGTCCATTGGGTCCAGATGACTTTCCTCCTATGCTGAAGTAGCTCTTTCCC